ACTTTGTTCTGAAGCAAGACCATCAGGAAAGCTCACCCGTGTGAAGGTCAGCAGTGGAAACCCTCCTCTTCTATTTACTGATGCCCCTTTAAAGTAAAACAAACCCTCAGGTGCACACCATATACTTAATTGGTCCCTCCGTCCAGCTATCCACCTATCCATCTATCTCATTCCTCTTCACCTACCTTTATCCATTTGAAATAAAACAGGACACCAGGCACATACCATATATTTTAGGGATACCTGCATTTACTGAGCCACCTATCCATCCATCCATCTGCCTATATTCAAGTGCCTACCCACCCACCCATCCAAGGATTTTGAGACGTTCTTGCACTGTGCTAGGCACTCAGGTAGGTAAGAAGCAAAGGGAAAATCTGCATGTAAATCAGACGCCACTTCAGAATTTAAAAACAAGCCCTTATCTAAGAAACCTGAAGATGAACAACATAAGCCTGGCAAGGGTTTAAAAGCAAGAACATACCAGCTTTCATTGTTTTCTTGTAAGAAAACATCCTGATCTCTGAGTTAACATGAGGACCCTCTCACTTCCTATTTCCCAGGGAGGATATAATTAGGATTTTGAGGCCAGGCTATGAGTTTCATGTCTTCTTCAATGACCCTTTTAATGTCCATATAATGTGGCTGGGTTGGCATCAATGTGACCTGTGGATATTCCACAGGCTTCCTGTTACTTCCCTTGTATTGCACATTATACACGTGGATGTAGAACACCTGTTCTTTGATTTTCTTTTCTCCTCTGCCCTCCAGAAGTCCACAGATTTAACTGATTTTCTGTGGCTGAAACATGCTTCCACCTTGCATTCCCTGCAACACAGTGACTGCATTTAGCTCATTTTTTTCTCAAAGTTGGCAACCTATTTTTGAAAAAAGTCTGTCAGCACTTTCTTCCCCTTCGGTAAGTCATTTTTACTGAGGCCATCTCTATGGCTGGAGCATGGAGAGCCAGGAATTTCTGATGTCTGGCTGAGAGCGAGTGTGGGCCAACTTGATCTAAGAAGCTGTTTTTGCCTAGGTGTTGAAGTCTTGGCATGCTTTTCTGTCCTACCACTGGCCCTGCCATCAGCCATGATTTCTTATCATGTCAGAAGCTTCAGTCAATACCCTCACACTTTCACAATTCCTCAAAATCTCAGTTACTTTGCCAACTCGCCCCCCTGACCCCCACATGTCAAAAGTGACAAATTACTATTCAGAGACAGTTCAGAGAGTAGATGAGCCAGCAAGCAGGCTTCTAGGTGGTGTGGCTTTTCCTGCAACTGGGTAAATTGACGAGGGTATTCAGATTCAGGAAGAAGAAAACCACCCCCCTTTTCAATAGGGAAAGGAGTAGCCAGTTCCCCGTCTGCTGGCTCCAGGTCAACGAGCCTTCGGGGGCTCTGAGCCCTGGGGAATGGCACAACCACAGCTCAGAGGGAGCCTGGCTCTGCAGATTAGCACGGAGAAGGTACTGAGCACGTGTGCTATGGTGTTAAGACACTGAGACCCAGGACTGTTTGTTAGGGCAGTTAGCTTAGCTTACCCTAATACAAAAGGGACATGAACACTCACAGGACCTTCAGGGAGGAAGGGCACTAAGCTGTTCCTTCCACATGCCAAGGACTCAAAAGCATGCGGGACAACGCTCTACCCAGCTGCACATCCTCGGCAGGACAAGGCTTTCACAGGAGGCACTCACTGATGGATCCTTTGCTGGCTGAAAGGGGCAGTGTAGCAGTCATTCTCCTCCAGGTCTGGTAGTGTCTCCTTGTCCAGCCTCATTGGTTTCTTAGGTAACCATCTCCGAAACCTGCTTATTTGTTTATCGATCCTGTGGTACATGAAAGGCAAGACCAAAGGGTATAGCATGTCAGCATTGCCCTGAAACGCAGGAGGAACGTCTGCATAGAGCGGTAATGAGGACACCACACATGCAGGCACGCTCATGGCACTCACGGGGCCCCCGTTTCACAGACGGAAGGAAGAGAGCACAACTCTTATGTTCTTCTGTTTTCCCCAAGGGGCCTCAACATAATCCATTTCAGCCCGTCTACAGCCTGCAGGTGTTATGTGAGTCCACCCATGTGCCAATGAAGGACCATGGAGTCATAACAAGGCTGGCAGGCTCTAGAGAGGGAGTTGACAGCCCTGTAAGCATGCAGCAGAGAACATGTTCTGGAAATTCCTGTCGTGCTTGCAAAATGCTCCTGTCTTTCCTTGGCTTGGGAGGACTTCTAACTGTAGTTGACTTTGGGCAGGGGGCCCACAGCGCAGCCCAGTGGGCTGACTGTGCGCAGAGAGTGCCATGTCATGATTTGCTTCCTAGTGTTATATTTCCCAGAGCTCATTAACTAGCTACTTCAGATTATTTAAAACCCATTAATAAACCCTCAAAGCATCTTCAGGGAAATTTTGTTTCTGACTGTACCAAACAATTGTTTCCGACTTGACAGCCAGCGTTCTGCAACTCTTACTTTTCCATATTCAGAGAGAAAGAAATCCCACTGCCCTCAAGGTGCAACAAACTTGTTTAATTTCATCTCCCAACTGCAAGACAGAATTGTCTCTGCTATTCTTGTGGTCCCCCTGAGGTCTGGCTCTTAGGTCTGCTTGGTTTCAGCTGGCTGTCCACGTTTTCCTCCTTAGTTCTCCTGTCTTGAAAGCTAGCTTGCACTGAGCACTCTCATTTTTCAAACAATAATGCCAGGTTTTCTCACATCCTCTTCCCAGTCACTGCAAACTACTTTTAGTTCTTCCAACACTCCACTCTGTTCCATGCCTTTCTATCTTTAAACATTCATTATTTTCACTTCTTGAGATAGGTTTCCTCCCTGACCTACATGGACAAGAGTTATCCTCCAAGACCCATCTCAAGTATTTTCTTCTTTTCATCATGCTTTTCTCTTAGAACCTCCCTCCAAATCTGGAAACTGCAAGGCTCCCTAAGTCACATCCATTATGCTGTTCGTAATTATTTCAAATGGTCTTCTGTCTTCACTAGACTGGGGTAAAGACTATATTACTTATCTTTATAGCCTCTGTACCCAGACAGTGCCTGGCAAGAAGCAGACACCAAGTGAGTGATGGTTGAATGGATCAATTATTCAGTGAATCAATAACCAAACGTGCCAGCAAAGGCCTCTCAAACATGACAGAGATGGCTGTATTACCCCATCTCCCAGGCTAGCATCCCTCATTTATTGTGTATTTTTAAATACTTGTAAATATATGGTTCTTGGTTTTAGTTCCTAGAGATCATGGTGAGTGCCCAGGTTCCTCTGACTTTGAGGACCCTGCAGAGCTACTTTGTTCTGAAGCAAGAACATCAGGAAAACTCACCAGTGTGAAGGTTAGCAGTGGAAACCCTCCTCTTCTATTTACTGATACCCCTTTAAAGTAAAACAAAACCTCAGGTGCACACCATATACTTAATTGGTCCCTCCGTCCAGCTATCCACCTATCCATCTATCTCATTCCTCTTCACCTACCTTTATCCATTTGAAATAAAACAGGACACCAGGCACATACCATATATTTTAGGGATACCTGCATTTACTGAGCCACCTATCCATCCATCCATCTGCCTATATTCCAGTGCCTACCCACCCATCCATCCAAGGATTTTGAGACGTTCTTGCACTGTGCTAGGCACTCAGGTAGGTAAGAAGCAAAGGGAAAATCTGCATGTAAATCAGACGCCACTTCAGAATTTAAAAACAAGCCCTTATCTAAGAAACCTGAAGATGAACAACATAAGCCTGGCAAGGGTTTAAAAGCAAGAACATACCAGCTTTCATTGTTTTCTTGTAAGAAAACATCCTGATCTCTGAGTTAACATGAGGACCCTCTCACTTCCTATTTCCCAGGGAGGATATAATTAGGATTTTGAGGCCAGGCTATGAGTTTCATGTCTTCTTCAATGACCCTTTTAATGTCCATATAATGTGGCTGGGTTGGCATCAATGTGACCTATGGATATTCCACAGGCTTCCTGTTACTTCCCTTGTATTGCACATTATACACGTGGATGTAGAACACCTGTTCTTTGATTCTTTTCTCCTCTGCCCTCCAGAAGTCCACAGATTTAACTGATTTTCTGTGGCTGAAACATGCTTCCACCTTGCATTCCCTGCAACACAGTGACTGCATTTAGCTAATTTTTTTCTCAAAGTTGGCAACCTATTTTTGAAAAAAGTCTGTCAGCACTTTCTTCCCCTTCGGTAAGTCATTTTTACTGAGGCCATCTCTATGGCTGGAGCATGGAGAGCCAGGAATTTCTGATGTCTGGCTGAGAGCGAGTGTGGGCCAACTTGATCTAAGAAGCTGTTTTTGCCTAGGTGTTGAAGTCTTGGCATGCTTTTCTGTCCTACCACTGGCCCTGCCATCAGCCATGATTTCTTATCATGTCAGAAGCTTCAGTCAATACCCTAACACTTTTACAATTCCTCAAAATCTCAGTTACTTTGCCAACTCGCCCCCCTGGCCCCCACATGTCAAAAGTGACAAATTACTATTCAGAGACAGTTCAGAGAGTAGATGAGCCAGCAAGCAGGCTTCTAGGTGGTGTGGCTTTTCCTGCAATTGGGTAAATTGACGAGGGTATTCAGATTCAGGAAGAAGAAAACCACCTCCCTTTTCAATAGGGAAAGGAGTAGCCAGTTTCCCGTCTGCTGGCTCCAGGCCGACGAGCCTTCGGGGGCTCTGAGCCCTGGGGAATGGCACAACCACAGCTCAGAGGGAGCCTGGCTCTGCAGATTAGCACGGAGAAGGTTCTGAGCACGTGTGCTATGGTGTTAAGACACTGAGACCCAGGACTGTTTGTCAGGGCAGTTAGCTTAGTTTACCCTAATACAAAAGGGACATGAACACTCACAGGACCTTCAGGGAGGAAGGGCACTAAGCTGTTCCTTCCACATGCCAAGGAATCAAAAGCATGCGGAACAATGCTCTACCCAGCTGCACATCCTCGGCAGGACGAGGCTTTCACAGGAGGCACTCACTGATGGATCCTTTGCTGGCTGAAAGGGGCAGTGTAGCAGTCATTCTCCTCCAGGTCTGGTAGTGTCTCCTTGTCCAGCCTCATTGGCTTCTTAGGTAACCATCTCCGAAACCTGCTTATTTGTTTATCGATCCTGTGGTACATGAAAGGCAAGACCAAAGGGTATAGCATGTCAGCATTGCCCTGAAACGCAGGAGGAACGTCTGCATAGAGCGGTAATGAGGACACCACACATGCAGGCACGCTCATGGCACTCATGGGGCCCCCGTTTCACAGACGGAAGGAAGAGAGCACAACTCTTATGTTCTTCTGTTTTCCCCAAGGGACCTCAACATAATCCATTTCAGCCCGTCTACAGCCTGCAGGTGTTATGTGAGTCCACCCACGTGCCAATGAAGGACCACGGAGTCATAACAAGGCTGGCAGGCTCTAGAGAGGGAGTTGACAGCCCTGTAAGCACGCAGCAGAGAACATGTTCTGGAAATTCCTGTCGTGCTTGCAAAATGCTCCTGTCTTTCCTTGGCTTGGGAGGACTTCTAACTGTAGTTGACTTTGGGCAGGGGGCCCACAGCGCAGCCCAGTGGGCTGACTGTGCGCAGAGAGTGCCATGTCATGATTTGCTTCCTGCCTCCCACACCTGCCTAAGCAGCCTCTCAGCACACAGCAGGCTGTTCAGCTTCCCCTTCTCCCATTTCAGGCTGACTCCATGGTTCTTGGGATGCCGCGGCGTCAGGACACAAACATGTCACTCTGGCCAGGGCACACGATCATGCCAAGTCACGGAAAACACAGTGTCGTAAAAATGGTTCTCAAGCTCCAGGCTTCTCCCCATTGCCTGGGACTTCTGCTGATGAAAACATCTGGCTTCCAAGTGACCAGATTTTCAATCATTCACAAGAACCACAAGACAGAACAAAAACCACCACAGACTTTAAAATAATTATGCTACCTCAGGTATTTATACCACTGACATTTTTCTCCCAAGAACATCAAATATCAAATAACATCTCCCTGGGGTAGATGGAAACGTCACATCTGACACGTCACAAAAATGACCCATGGCTGGGGGAGATTATCCAGTCCAAATTACCCAGCCAATAAATAAAGCCAGTATCAGAATGCAGATTTTGTACTCCTGATGTTAGGGATCACCTCATCAAAAGAGTTGATACTGGAAACCTTCACTTAAGGGCTACACAAGGGACAGATTCCTCTAGAAAGTATCTAAATGCCTTCTAAGTCTGCAAACTGAGAACATATGGAATTGGGTGTCTCTTAATTTTTTCCAATCAAAAACAAATTTACATGGCCATTGATCTTTTTCAGTGAAACGCCCAGCTGAAAGAATTCGTTTTATGTGATCAGTCAACTCCAAGATAGAAAATAATGGTCAACTCCTCTTTTACCACCTCCTTTATTCTCAGTGCAGCTCCAACCTCACCACCTCCCCAGCTCTGCCCAGTGGTGGCTGTCCTTTTCCCAGAACCCCTGAAAGTTCAAACTGGACAGAATCTCAGTTTCTCCAGGACCCTCCAGTCAAAGAAGACCTGGCGCTACCACACATAGACACACCCAGGATTGCATAACCTGATTCTACCCAGGATCATGTAACCATAAAAGAATAGTTTGGAAGGGTCCAAGGCCCCAAGAAGGGGATAAATTCCAGTCTCCTCATCTTCTGGCCCTCCCCTCCCTCACCATCTTTTCAAAGATACATAAAACATAGTGAAGTGATGTGCTGAAGAGAGGAGGTATGACACAGTGGTTTAGAACTTAAATCCTGGCTCTGTAAACATCAGCAATGTGACCTTGGGCAGGTTATTTAACTTCGCTATGCCTTGATTTCCTGATATGTAAAATGGGCATGAAAATGATACTTGACTCAGAGGGCTGTGATGATTAACTGATCAATATGTACACACAGTCTCCAGAACAGTGTCTGGTATATGGTAAGCATTGGCTATTGTTATCTTTTTTTTTCTCCCCAAAATAAGTATTTGAGCAACCATCTTGCCTCTTAACATTTTTGCCTCTTTTCTTTTCAATTCAGTTAATTGTGCTTCACCAACATCTATCACTTGTACAAGTTCAATGACTGAGCGACCTTAAATAGACTCATAAATTAGACTTAGGCTAAGCTGGTGGCCTTCCCCAGGGCTCCTGGCTTTATTTCACCTGATTGTCTTAAAACTCATTCAAGAAAGAAGACATTGGCCCAGAGGTTTTTCATAGTGGAGCTTTACCTCCCACACATCTCCAGTCTGCTGCACTAATCAGATTCCATGTTGCCAAGTTCACATTCTCACAGAATCTAGGCCCTGTGTGCAACAACTATGAATTAAATTCAGTGAGGATAAAAACAAATAAAGCTGTGAAAAATCAGGCATAAATACTCTATGGGAATGAAATGGCAGCTTTCATTTCATTCAACCAGCTTGCAGGACCACAGTTTAAATGAAATGTGGAGGTGACGGAGAGACAGAAGAACAGGGCAATGAAAACAATTAATTGAAAAATGAGGAGCAAAGGGAAAGGAAGTGAGGGGAGGCTGCTCAGCGTGGTGGGAAGAGGCTGGGATTCCTGACCAGGAGGCCTAAATCCTGGCTGTTGCGTATCAGCTGCGTGGCCTGCCACAGATCGCCCACCCTCTGGAGCCTTACTTATCAGGGGTTTTCAAGTGGGATCATCCTCATCTTACTGACCTGGCAGGGTTGACAGGAGGCTTGCAAAGGACGGTGTGCTTGAAGCGTTTTGAGAAGCTGCCAGGCCGAGAGCAGTGTCATTAATAACTTTTTGAGGAACACAGAGGTTAATGTAAAAAATGGGAAGAAGAACTGGGCTTTTTAAAACACTAGGATGGAAGAAAGGTATCTGAAAGACATCTTAAAAATAGAGACACACTGACTGGGGGTGAGGGGTGGGGACCAGCCTTCACTGGGGTAGCCCAAGCAGAAGCAGGGGGAAAAACACGGACCATCCAGGTTGACCAACACCTTGACTTCAGCCTTGGGAGACCCTGAGCAGAGAAAGCAGTTAAGTCCCCCTCCCCTACACTTATGACTTGCAAAAATGTGAGATTATAAATTTGTGTGGTTTTATGCTGCTAAATGTACAGGAATGTGTTACGATAGTAACAGGAATATAATACACCTCTGAAAACAGTCTTGGTTTGATCTTCCCCTTGAGACCTGACCATGGCTAGCCAGGCTCCCAAAGCTGAGCTGACATTCTACACGCTGTCCCCACCTGCCAATCAGGTGGCTCTGGGAACAAGGGTCTGTGTGTCTGGGACTGGATGGGAAGTGACCGCTCTTCCACAAACACAGTCTCGTCCCCAAATTGTGCCAGTCAGACATCACTGAGGATCCCCTTCCACCACGCAAAGGAGAAATACCCAGCGCAAAAGCCATCAGGCTAGAAGGTGTGAGACTCAAGGTGGATTCTTGATTCTGCTGTTATACGCTGGAGTGGCCTCGGATGGACCTTTTATCCTTGGAATCCTCATCTGTAAATGATGATCAAGAAGATGCTTTTTAGATACTACATGTTGGTGGTGATTTTGGCAAGAATACTTTGGCTATGTCATTCTAAACAAACTTGAGTTAATAGAGAGCTTTCCTTTCCAATGCATAACGGATAACCTTCTGTATAGAATAATGGACTTGGGAGTCGGCTGGAAGCCGGTTCGGATCTTACTTGTTCAGCTCACCATGGTGAGTGCCATGCTGGGCAAGAGACTAAATACTCTGAGCTGATACTCCTGTTGCATAAGGCAGAGATGAGGACTATACAAGACAATGATCACCCAGGGTTTGCACAATGCCTTGGACCCACAGAGAGCTCAGTTAAGCAGGACTGTCTAGCATGAGGAAAATGGTGACGGTTGTGAACTTTTCTGTAGAAAGCCCTGAAGGGAAATTCCAGAGTTAACTTTCTCACTTGCATATTGAGGTCTCAGCTGCTGTCTTCATCTAATAAGCTTCTTTAAACAGCAATCCTGAAATTTGCTTGGATATATAAAGTTGAGAAACCAACTAACAAATAAGCATCTGATTTGTCTCTTCACTAGAGGAGTGGGGTTTACTTAATGAAGCCTCCACTGACTGACAGGGAAAAGGAAAGAGAAAATGTTCACTTAATGATTGAGCATTGATTTGGGTTGGATACATCACCACTCTGTCCCATTCCTGCCATTTCCTGAGCAAAAGCCCTCTTATGGACTATGTGGGCAAATCAATAGAGAAGATGGATCATCTGTTTGGGCATATCTGGCCTTAACTTGTCAAGGTAGTCTCTGACTCAAAGGCAAGTACTTTTATAGAAAGTAGTTATAATAGTGAGTTCAGGTTTCCCCCTAAAGTGCTGGTTCAAGGCAGGTGGGGTTCAGGTAGCTGGGAAGAGCTGGGAGCCCAGCACAAGTGAATGGGCACAGACTTGTTACTGCTGAGCGGGCCCTTCCCAAGCTGGGCCTTGGGCATGTGCCTTGGGAAGGGTCTGCTTAAACTGCTTTGACCCTCATCCCTTCAGCTGCAAAGCGTCACCCCCTCAGGAGTGGGGATGATTAAGGAAAACACCACATGCAAAGGACTTCACTCCCCGCAGGCAGGAGGCCTTTATAAACACCCACTCAGTGCAGGGCCCCAAACTGGATGCGGGGCACGTGCCCTGAAAGGCAGAAGATGAACGCTTTTTCCTTGAGCCACTAACAACCCAGGAGGGAGTTTGTACTAATGACAATTTAATTAGGCCGAATTAAATGAAACAGGCTACTTCAGAGACACCTGCTTTTCCCCAGACCAGAGTAGTATAGTAATAGCATCATGTTTTGAACAGTTAGATTACATTTTCAGGGATGATATGCCTGGAGGGAACCTACAGAAGAGTTGTTTTTTTTAAATGGAGACACCTCACATAGCAGTAAATGAAGCCCGCCCGGACCGATGACAATTAGACAACAGGAGGCTTGGATTTCTTTTTCCTCGTCTTAGAGCCAAGTGCCCTGCATCGACAGCCTTTCCTTGGATAGGAGTTAGGGATCTTTGGAAGCTAATGCGATTCTTTGAGGTCACAAGGCTTCTAAATGGGGCATGGCCTAAATATCTCACAGAGAAGTCCAAAGGCTTTGGTATATTTACATATATTTATTTTATTTTAAATAAGGATGGAAATACACTAGCTATATTGTTGTTTTGCCTGCATACTCATGGATAAGATTATGACTGCACTGCATGCATAATGCAGGAGGGTCCAGCATTCATTCTGCCAGCGATTGCAAAGGATAAATTGGGCAGAATGCGTAGGGGGAGGGGAAAGCAGTGAGTAGTAATGAGATGTAATGTAGTTTCAGCCACAAGCCACCCATGATAATCAGATTTGTTACTTTGTCATCAACATCTTCTACCGGCTGCTGCCCACAGATAAGAATCAAACCAGTCTTTAACAGGCCAAGTACATGGAGGAAAAGTGCATTTACTCCCAAGACACATATCTGAACTTGCATGAGTGGGCTTTATGGGGGCCAGGTGACTTTTTAAAATAACGTTTTGGTGAAAAGATGCTTTATTTCTCTGTCTGCTCAGAAATTTACAACACCATTTGTCTTCTCCTTAAAGGAGAGAGGTCTGTTTTTGGGGTGCTTTCATGAATTAATGAAATTAAATACCATCTATGTGGATGAAACTAACAGCTGTATTAAAAATACCCATATTTAGTAGGACATGAGAATTTTAGGCTATTAGGAAGCAATGTTTTATTATTGGTGCTCAACCAGCAGAGCAAATTGTGATGTAATCCTTCATTCTGGAGAATCAGAGCTGGCTACACAGAATCTCTTTAGTGGGGAAATGAAATGTTAAAGTAGATCTAAAAATTTCTAATAAACTGCATTTAAAGAATTAGCCCAGACATTGGGCTTCTCAAAGTTACACCACCCTAGTGAGGTTCAAACTTAATTCCATGTGGTTAGCAATGCAATTTATCTGGAGAGGCATTCTGAATCAATGTGTCATACTACTGTATTCAGGATTTCTTTTTCCTTTATTGTGCCCTCCAGGGACTGTCATTGCCTAAATTATTCTATGGTTGTGATTTATGGACTTGAAAAAAGCATCAGCTTTTTCAGACCAAAGACTGGTGTTTGGTAAGCTATCCTTCCAGTTTAAGAAACAAGGATTTCTCAAGGTCTTACTCAAAACCTCTCCTCTGCGCAAATGAGAATATGTGGTTGGCCACATGTTCCCAGTCTCCTCTGCTGCTCTTCTCTTGGCTACTGTTCCTAATTCCCTTCCCTCTTTCTCTTTTCCTTTACCCAAGGTAGTAGTGAACCTTCCTGCCTCCAGCTCACCAGGACTCGCCTGTTCTCCATCAGCTGTTAATTTGGGATCCATCACCTTCCACTCTGCGGTCATCATTCTCAAAGTACAGCTCCAGACCTGCATCAGCATCCCTCAGGACCTTGACAGAGGTGCAGATTCCTGAGTCTCACCCCAGCAACCCTGGAGAAGCTCCCTGTCATCTGAGCATTAAAAAGCCTGCAGATAATCCCAATGCACACTCACGTGTGAGAACTACTGCTCCGGGGGGACTGCTATGGAGGCGGTTGCAGCAACTTCTAACTATCCCAAACCAATTCTCATCCCTGAGCCTTCCTCAGAAGCTGAAGGACACCCCTCTACGCAGAAACTCATTCTGGCGCCTCAGATGCTGTCCTTCCTCAGGTCTCCCCCAACTGCTTAAATAGTCCTTTTTCATTCTCCTCACTTTCTATCTCAACACAGATATTCCAAGAAATTGCCACTGGCCCTCTTCTCTCCACACTTCACATCCTTCCCTGGGAATGTCCACCCACTCTTCTGGCTAAAGTCATGACTTTTATGTCTCTGACTCCCAAATCAGATTCTCTAGCATCACCTCTAACTGCTTCGCCATCAGTTCCAACACCTCAAAGACCTACTGTGAATTACAATATATAATTATTAAAACACAAATTATCATCTTTCTCATCACCCCTGTATTTCTTCTGTATTTCCATTTCTTTTATCCCCAACATTGTCTAATCCCTTAGACTTGAGAACCTCTTTCTTCCCACCACCTCAATTTCTGAGTACCTGTGAAGTGCTAAAGTCCTTTTTCCTGTAACTTCACAATCTTTCTCATGTACTCTGCCTGCTTGCTTTACAGATTATTTTTTTTGTCTCTCCAGGGAGCAGAAATATAATCTGAGTGTTCTTTAGAGTAAAAATTAAAGAGAGAGAGAGATTGTGGCTTAAGGAAGAACTTTCTAACTGGTACCCACAGATGGGTTTGGGATTTTTTTTGTCCCTAAAGATGTTCAAACATGGGCTGGCTGACCATACAGCAGATACAAGTATCTGATGAGTGGTTAGACTTGATGGCATTTGATAGCACACCTGACCTTGAGATCATATGGTACCTTTCATCACCATTTTCTTTCAAGCCTCATTGCTCACCCTTCCCCCAGAGTGTGAGCATATGTTTCAGTGTCAAGTGAATGTCTGAGACTTAGGCAGACCCGGTTTTCCTATCCTTTTCTTTGTGACCTCCTTTTTCCTCCACCTCACACATGTGTCTGAAGATTCACTCATTCATACCACCAACTATGAGTTAGATACTGCAAACAGAGAACTGGGCGAGTCACCCTTGCCTTCGTATACCATACAGGGGGAGAGATGGACATCTGCATCATAGTTTGGAGCACAGAACCAGCAATGTTTGCTGTAATGCTGGCGAAAGTTTGACAACTATTGAGAACTACTGATGCAGGCTAAAGAGTTGCATCCAATTTTTATAGAATGCATGCATTTGAGTAAACCCACTAAAATATATCAATTACACTTATACTTATTCTACATTGCACATAAAGAGAATGAACTTGAATCTTAAATCACAGAACTAACTACTGCATTTTCAGAGGAATACAGTGGTTTCCAAGTTTAACCATCAGCTCAGCTCAGGGTGAATGGTCATGTAAGACCAGTCAGAACTCTGAAATTAGATTGCTAATGGTCATAACAGAATCAAGTTAAAAGATACCACTGATGCTTCCCCTTTCTCCTAGCTTCTCTGAGAACAGGGAGAAACAAGTTTTGGAAGGATACACAGTACAGGAAAGGCAGTATTCAGTAGAATTTTGGTGGTGGTGGTGGTGGTGGGGAATGGGGAGAAGAGAGGCAGTAAGAGCTCCTGAGTGAGATCATGCATCCACTTACTTTGTTAACAAAATATTACTAACATAGGAGGGGTCCCACCTATTGGGGGCTGAGCAGCCATGAGCTTTTTGAAAGGGTGACAGTCTATACCTCAAGATTTCAAATTACATACAGAGGAGGGAGGAATGTGTGTGGGGAACAAAGTAACGTTCAGATCAAAGATGCTCTAAACATCTGGGCTTTTAGGTGATTGACCTAATAGAACAGGCTTTAAAAAAAGAAAAAAGAAAAACTAGCCCCAACACACCTGCAGATGAATTCCATTTCCCAAGAGTGGAGAGGCTAAGGGAAGGCTCAAAGGGCCATACCCGTCTTTGCTTTTTTCTCAGGCTAACCTGAAGGAGCTGTTTGTGGAATGTGCATGGCAGCCAGCTTTCCAGGTGAGAAAGGCCCATCTCCCCCAGCTTGCATTCTGTGTCCCTGCTGGGGCACACAGGTCAACAGAACAAACACCATCGTGACAGAACATGCTACTAACCTGCTCATGAACTTGTACCGGCGGGGCAGGTAATAGATTTTTCTCCTGGAAGAACAGCAAAAATGAAGCCAGTCGAGAAGAAAACCCATCGTCAGTTACAGTTTGAACTAGCAAGGAAGGAAAGGAGATTGAAGATAGAAGCCTGTAAGAGGTGAAGAAGAAAAAACTAAAAAGAGATTAACAGCGAGAAATGTAGTGGGAACGTAGGGCATGCATTTCTGAGTCATGAAATAGTTTCTACTGATATTTCCTCCTTTCCTCATTACCATAATTTTTTATGGTTGCTCCTTGGCTACAAAACCTCTGCAGAGCGGTGATTTGGAGCATGGGTATTTGTATGAGATCAGCTGAACTCAGCCTTTTTTTTCAAGGATACAGAGATGGATTGCAAGCCTGCGAGCAACATAAATAATTTAATGGGCACACTATCATATTACCTAATATTTATATAGCACTTTAGGTTGACAGAACACTTCTTTCATTTGATATAGGCAGGGGTGACATAAAAATACATATTTATAACCAGTGTGGGAAGAACACTAACTAACCAACATCAGTATCCTACTGCAAATAACCAAACTAGGGTACACTGCCTAGCCGTGGGCCTGGCTATGGGTGAATTCAAGACACAAACCAAGGAATTCTGGAAAACGTTTTTAAAAATCAGACTTAGTAAGGATCTGCTGTACTTCTGTATATCCGCAGTTTAAAAAATATTTCATATGAAAATTCTGGGTGGAGTTTGGATGGGGTAGACATGTTAGATGCTTTATGAAAATGCAATTTCCCTTTCCATGTTTTGGGCTCCAACCCATAGAGTAGTGATGACATGATGTGGTGTTCCAGTATTCTGAACTGTTATGAGCTATCTCAGAAACATGGAAAATGGGACGTTTACACACCAAAACTTATTTTGCATATCTGTGAAAACTTAAATACATATATCCATGTTTTAATAGGTGAAACTATAGAGACAATAAAAAGATCAATGGTTGCCAAGGGGGGGTGGCTTGTGGGGAAAAGGGGTGAATAGATGGAGTAAAGGGTTTTTTTAGGGCAGTGGAACTACTCTGTGTGATACTGTCACAATGGACATGACATTATGCATTTGCCAAAACCCACAGAATGTACAACACAAGGAGTGAACTCTGAAGAATTATTAGCTTGAGTAATGGTGATGTACAAATATACTACACTAGTACACTTAATAATTAAGGAAATGGTGAGGGGGTTATATGGGAACACTGTACTATCTACTCAATTTTCTATGAACCTGAAAATGCCCTAAAAAATAATTTCTTAATAAAAAAAATGCCATCCCCATGGATATGTATGTATTTAAGAAGCATGTTTTATTGGCAATTTCCCATATAATACCTGTTGCTCTATTTCCTTTTAAATATTGTAGGAATAGGAATCCAAAGAGACTAAACCTGTGATTCAGAAGCAAGTCTACAGAAAATAATAAATATAGACAAGATTCTTTGAGGCATTTAAATTCAGCCAAATTGATGTTTGTACATTTTGTTGAAATGATATGGCAAGACAATCCCACCATTGGAAATACATCTGTCTCCTTAGGCTAGAGTTATTTGTCTGAAATGTTGGACAATGAGAGCATATATGTTAAATGCATTCGATTTCATCAATGGAACTATGCTTAGGTAAAATAACATCAACATTAAAGAGGCCAATTAGTGTCCATACATTAATGCTATTTTTCCTAAAATTCTTGTCCTGCAGGAATTCCTACATTTAAAAAGAAGATGATTATTCATAGATACGGTTTCATTTTATTGCTTGGATGACATTTCCTGCATAAGAAAAGCAGTCATACTGTTGCAGGCAGCACTTCTCTGCTGCGTAAGGAGCATGAAGAAAGAAGTGTTATCTACGCCGCAGGTCCTCCAGATAGGAAATGCTTCTAGGTGCTAAGGGAACTTGCTGTGCAGTAACCGTGCTCGAGTTTCCATAGTCGGCTTGGGCTCTTTGCTTGAGAAGTGTGTTCTGGCAGGAGTGAGGCTGCCACCAGGGAGGGGGGATCAATTTCACTAAGCTTTGCTGCCTCACTTTTATCAAAAGGTCGACCTTTGGCTTAACATTGTTAGTTATACGACGTTGGTCTGATGTAGGACTCTGTGTAAGCACAGAATTCTTTTCCTTTTGCTTATGTGTGACACAGTTACAGCACTGATAAATAACTAGCTTTAATTATAGTGTTACAAATTTCAATGGAAACTAAATTGATATTCCTTCTCTTTCAGGGATTTTATATATGTACACACACACACACAAGTGTGTATATATATATACAATTAACCTTTGAACAAGATGGGATAGAGGTATCATCTCCCCTCTCCCCCACAGTGGAAAATTCATGTATAACTTGATTCTCCCAAAACTTAACTATTAATAGCTTACTGTTAACTGGAAGCCTTACCAATAATATAAACAGTTGATTAACACATATTTTGTATGTTATGTATATTATATTCTGTATTCCTACAATAAAGTAAACTAGAGAAAAAGCAATATTTTTTAAAATTGTTAAAAATCTCCAAATATTTTCCCAATATATTTATTGACAAAAAATGAAACATAAGTGGACCTGTGCAGTTCAAACCCATGTTGTTCAAGGGTCAACTCTATGTATATGTGTGTGTGTGTGTGTGTGTGTGTTGCACACATGCACATAGATATATATTTTTTAAATCCTTGGATTCTCACATCTCCTTTGTCACATTTTAAATACAAAAATAAATCGAAACTTAGAACTATGTTTACCTCAAGTCCTTTGAGAATTTTGCCTTAAGGTAAACAGATGCTAGAAATCTCAGCCTCTATTTTAACTTGGTGTTAGGACATAAAGGCCAGTAAACAACAAAAAAAAGACACACCAGGGAGATACATTACAGACCTATGAATGGAATTGCCGTTCTCTAAATGTGTCCCTAGCTTCTCTCTTTTTCTATAACTTTCCACAGCTCATTAAGAGGTATATTTTTTAACTGGCATCAGGTTGCCTAGTTTTTGTCATCTGACTTGGTATTATTGGCAAATTACAAACCAAAAGTATTTATTTCTTTAGCCCCGTTGGAATGGTCCTTAGTACTAAATCCATCCACCTCTTTCAGGAGATTCCATTATTTACTTCCAACATATCTCAGCATTTAAATTTTCAGGTACAATACTTTGTTTCCATCTAGCAAATCAAGACCACTTTTCCTTATTCTAGAGGGAAAATGAGAATATACACTGTGAGATGAGGGTAAATTAATCCTTTAAAATAACTAAGCAATCCACACAAAGTATTTTCTGTTCCCCTTGAAAAAAATATCAGTGCCTGCATTTGAACAGTATTCTTGATCTGACTTTATAAAATTTTTAAATAGCTCATTTAAAAAATAGATTGTATTTTAATGAAACTTGTTTCAATGGAATATTTTAATGTTTTTCTGGAAGGGATCTGTTGATAAAGACCTGAACCACTGGGGTCTGGTTGTTCAAAGCAGCAGTACACAGGGCTTATAAAAATGGCATTTTGGAAGTGAAAATACCACTTGGAAAAATGCTTCTTCCTCTGAGAAACTTGAAATACCTACCTCCTAAGGACTGACTTAACCAGAATTTTTCACAAAAAGACATGAGGTCATTATTAGCCATGAAGTTTATTGCATTTCCTAAACATTTGAAGGATTTTCTTCTCTAATAGTGTTCCAGTCTGCATTTCAATTTTATTTGTTTCAAGAGAAAGGCACACTAGGTTTGCAGTGAAACAGCAGAGAGAGTGGGCTGAAATACATTTACACCTACCTGAAAGGCATTCTTACATTCATTTGTTCTGCATATCTTCCAAGCACTTCCCATGGGGCATGCAACTTCACAAAGATAATGTCACTATTTATTAGAGAGGACTGAAACAGAAAAAAGAAACTCAACTGAAAAGTTATCCCAGTCTCCTATGGTTTAAATTGAGTTGGAACTTAGAACACATCAACCTGTATGCAGTTTAGGACATGGGGCATTCCTGAAGTGTGCATCTATTCATTTAACAAATCTACCACTGTGTGTCAGGCCCTGGAGACCCAGATGCAAACATAAGAGACATGAATGGCATTTACATTCTGCAAAAATATAAACCAAAATTTAAAGATGGGCAAAAATAACTTACAAAAATGAGAGAGAAATTCACATGGTGATAAGTGATCTGAAGATAATATAATGGAATGAAAAGTTTCAGGAAGGGAGGCACATACTACTTTGGAAAAGAGGTCAAGGAAAGGCCTCTCTGGGTTGGTGGGGGGGGGGCATGTTAGCTAAGATGCAAAGAAGGAGCCAGCTGGGTAAAGAGCATGGGATGAAGGTTCTGGGTGCAAAGGCTGGGAAATTGCTTGCTATGTCCTATATTTGAGAGCCAGTAAGGAGAGCAGAGTGGCCAAAGTGAATCCATCATGAAGATTATTAGCATAAGAGGCTGAAAGGTGAGAGCTATGTCCTATATTTGAGAGCCAGTAAGGAGAGCAGAGTGGCCAAAGTGAATCCATCATGAAGATTATTAGCATAAGAGGCTGAAAGGTGAGCAGCAGCCAGCATGTACAGTGCCTCACAGGCCATAACAAGCCAATGGGACTTTGTTCAGGAACACTGGGAAGTCGTTATGATTTAGTTTTTCAGAGATCACTATGTCTGCTGCATGGAGAACACATTATAAGAAGAGTTGTAATGGAAACAGAGAGGAGAGATGTTCTCAATCATATGGGCAAAAGGAAAAATTGGTGGTGGTGGTGGTGGAGATGGAGGGGCCTAAGAGATGTGAGTCTTAAATCTGCGGAGGCATCAGGTGAGGCTTCTTCCAAGGACTGTGTTCTTTGGCCCAAAACCTTTGCCTTCTCCAGGGCTTTTTATCAACACAGAACTTAGACAGGGAAGTAAAATTAGGGCTTCACACTCTGATAACCACCCAAAAGGTTTTGGTGTATGCCTCTGGCTGAAGGGACATCTCCAATTAGGACATTTCTTTTGGAAGTGATTTCCCAGGGGGAGAGCTAGGTGTTAGAAGGAGGCAGAAGAAAAATGGGAAAATAGTGAGCCAAACCAACCTAAATTAGCAAAATGCCCAATTATTTACCCATATCTTTCCCACACAGTGCCATTCTGGACTGTATGCCATTTAAATTTTTATAGTTTAATAATGTTGATAAGTATGTTAGGTCCTTGCAGCTAAAATCTCCTTATAATGGTATTTATAAACAATCCAATACTTTTATCCAGGTGACAAAAATAGAAGGGTAACATTATGCTCTAACTGGGGTATATTTTGCACTACAGGGAATTGTTTCTAAATAGCAGATGGTATACAATTGTAATTCATATCTCATATTTGTATTCAGGGTCTTCTTGTTGGGACTATAAATATTGTATTTAATTTATAAGAATTCCTCAAGATGTTATGAAAATCAAGCTGGTGTCAACTGTTGTTCTCAGAGACTGATGAAGCAGAATTCCCCACGAGGAGGAGGGCCAGGGCCCAAATCCACAATGGTGGGGGGCACCCTCTGATATTGGTCTGAAAAATCGAACTTTTTGGCAGTACAGGCTGAAATGAGGTTTTATATCCTGGCTTGGGATAAGCATACCCCTCATTGTAAGCTGCCTGGGGTTGAGGAGTGTTTTTATTACTCATGGTTGAATCCTCTGGGCCTAGCACAGTGCCTGACACAGAGGGAGCATACAACCAATATATGTCTAATTCACAAATATGGTTAGTGAAATATGAACAGTCTTGGCCCAGGTGGAAGCTGCAAGTCCTGTGAGGCAGGAAGAGACTGTTGATGAAGTGGTTCTTGGAACCCACATTGCTGGTGACTGCAAATGAGGTCCAGGAAACAGACACGCCAGTAAGCAGTGAAGATATGATGACGTCCAGTGCTTTGTCTCTGTACAAACTGGTTTCTGTAGCCTATTCCACTCAGTCTTCCCTGCATTGGGTACTTACACTGAGTAGTCAGGGGGAGGGTGAGCTCACGGGGTAGTGTCCTTATAGAAGCCAGAGAAACAGCACACATATGTGTGTACATACATATGTACACACACACACCCTCTTCTTCCTGTCCCATTCATGACTGCAAATACACTGATGCCTTGATAGGAGATGGTCTCAGCTTATAAACCAAGTATTTTTTGTGCATTGGAAAAGACTGCCACTTGATTGTCAATATATAGTACAATTTTCCAAGTCACAAAGCAGAAGAAAGACTGTCCTCAAAAGTGGGTCTTTTTGTTTGTATTATATTTCAGAGTCCGGGAAGGTTTTGTGGCTTCCTCATTTGGAAATTTTAATTGTGATAATGGGAATTCTTTAAATTCCCCCAGCTTTCGTGCAAGATTCTACACTCACTATTGTTTTGTCTCTCATCTTCCTATGACAGAAAGGGTAAGACTGTGCAATACGGAAGACAATGTGGGAATGTGGTTGATTCAGAGAATCTAACTGATTCACACAATTAACCAAACTTTGAGAGCAAATTATAATTTTAGAATATACTCTCTTCATGAAATTGTTGTTTACAGAAAATAAACAATCTAGTAGAAGAAAAATCATTCTGTAGATCCCCATGAACATATGAAAACATTAAAGAGAATACATTATGATCTACTTAGGGCACATTTTAAATGCCACATTTCTGTGTGTGGAAAAGCGAAGCTCATTTTCTGAACATGTACTGAGTCAACTAAAATTCTATGTGGGATCTTCACCATTTTCTGCATAAAACACAGCTGTTTTCATTCATTCACCATGGTAAAAATTATTCCATTTTCTTGTTTGTAGCAATTACAAAACCATCACTTTACTATTATTTTTTTAGAGCTTTTAATTTTGTACTTTCTCACATTACCTCATTTTATTCCCATATGAATCTTGTGAGAGAGACAGTTCAAGTAACTCACTGAAGCTAAACTGACCGTTTATCCCAAACAGAACTAATACCCACATATCCCTTGACTACCTTGTCAGAGTAATCTAATAAATTCTGAGGTTTAAGTAAATCCATGGCTTTGTGCATTTGTTAAAGATGCACCATCTCTGAACTGTCCCTTTTTCAGTTTATACAAACTAATCCGAAAAGATTTTCATATTTGAAAAAACAAAGCAACAAGAATAAACAGCAATATGAAGTTACTAATGAACTAAAATGTGATTTGAGATTATTTAAAGTTGTTTTGATAACTTGAGAAAATGTTAACTGAATCCCCTGAATTATGATGAATGTCTATTCATGGGTCCTGTGTGTGTGTGTGTCTGTGGGAGCTTATTACTTATATTTAGCTCCTCAAGGAGGAACTGAACTCCAGCCCAGAAAAATAAATGTGGAGCAGATGATAGCTAATTATATGGCTCATATATCACTATTTACCTCTGACTGATTACACTCTTTCTAAACAGGTTTTTCCCCGTTATTCAGTATTCCTTTCCGCATAAATCCAGTGCTCAAGTACCGAAGTGAAGAGAAATGACAATGATTTTTTTGAAACAGAGTTGTTTCATTAATACACCAACCCTTAGGTTAGAACCATAGGAAGAAGAAAGATGGCTACTTAGTGGAGTTGTGGAAATATCCTTCGAGGCATAACAGGAGACATCAAGAGTAACATGGAAACTACCTGGAGTAGAAGTAGATAAGATTCACTGAAAACCGTCCTTCTCTCTTTCCTCCTTTCAGTAAGACCATATTGACCACTTTCTATGTACTACATGTAGAAAAGCAAAGATATACAAATCATGGTCCTTGCCTTGGTATGTCACAATTTAGTAAGGGAAAGCTAGATAATGCAACAGTAAGGAAAAGAAAAAATAGCATATGCCATTGTCTAATCTGAGCGCTGTATCTCTTAAGATGTGTATACGGATGTACACATCTCTGTATCTCATGACCCCTGACACTTTTGCTGAGAAGGGGACACTGAAGAAGAAACAGGTTTGGGAATGGGGCATGGAGGTAGATCATGAACTCAGTTTTACAAATGTTAAGTTCCAGATGCCCATGAGAAGTTGTCTTGCGGGTAGTTAGATACATGAGTCTTGAGTTGAGGGGAACAGATTGGGCCAGAGATACAAAGTAAGTGTGGCCAGGACATGGATGGTATTTAAAGCCATGGAATTGGAAGAGGTCACCTTGGGAGAGAGTTTAGGTACAGAGCCACGTGGGTAGCTGAACTACAGCAGTTAGGTAGGAATACTGACTCTGAGGTCAGACTGCATGTACTCATATTCATATGTCCACCTCTTATCAGCTCTGTGGTCTTGGGGAAGCTGTTTAATCTCTCTGTGCCTCAGTCTGTTCAACTGTAAATGAAATAACAGCAAAATCTATCTACTGAACTGTATTAAGTGGCATGATACAGGTAAGATGCTCATAGTACATCTAATAAAAACATGTTAGTTATCAGCACCTCCAGGAAGGGCCGCACCACACCACACTGGCAGGTAGAACGTAGTACTCCTTCTTATCCAAGTTACAACCTGAAACAAATAAGGAACCAACACCTTTTCCAGTCTGACTACACAAGGTTAAGCCAGAAGAAACCCTGAGAATCAAGCCTCTGATTCCTGTCTCCTGTCCCTGTTTCCTATGTGTTCCTCTAACGGCATTCATTCACTCAAAAACATTCCACAGACATTCATTGACTACTGCATATCAGGTACTCAGCTAGGTGCTAGACGGAACTTAGAATCTAGAGTAGGAGACAGACATTAAATATAAAGACACACATTATTTAAAATTATGAAAAATGGTAGAAATGAAAAGAATGTAATGTGTGGGAAAGAAGAACTGGGGCACCTGCTTTAGATTGGCAGGTTGGACTCTGAAGGCATGACATCTGACCTGAGATCCGAAAGGTGGGAAAGTGTTCG